GCGGCTCATTAGCACAACTCATTAGCATAGCTTATTTGCATATGCCACACCCCCTGACATCACTGGAAATGTGTCAGAAGGCAAGACCCACCGCTCAGGCTCCACTGGACTGTTTTGGATTGCTAGCTATGGGGGGCGGGGATGCACAGATGTGCCCTAGTAGAGGACGGAGAGCTTGTACCTGAATAAACCTTGGCCTTAAAGGTGCCACTGGACTGTTTTGGATTGCTAGCTATGGGGGCGGGGATGCGCAGATGTGCCCTAGTAGAGGAGGGAGAGCTTGTACCTGAATAAACCTTGGCCTTAAAGGTGCCACTGGACTGTTTTGGATTGCTAGCTGGGGGGGGGGGAAATGCACAGATCTGTGCAGGAAGGAAGGCAGAAAGGAAGGAAGGAGAGAAAGAAAGAGAAGGAAAGAAGGAGGGAAAAAGAGAAAGAAAGAGGGAGAGAAGGAAATGAGGGAAAGGGAAAGAAGGAAAGAAAAAGGAGGAAAAGAAAGAGGCTTCTTGCTCCTCATGGCCTGGAGCTACTGGGAGCAGGGGGCGGGGCTTGTTGCATGTGCCCGCCCCCTGGGCTCTTTACTGCCGGAGCTCCGCTCCTGTGCGCTCCTGCAGGAAATGACCCCTGGGTACAACTATAGGTCTTCAGTAAAAGTTTTTATGCTTCTGTAGAGATTCTTGCTTTGATTTCAGAAAGCTTTATCAGAGAATGTGCAACACCTTCTTGAACAGCAACCACGAGGCTATGCAACAAAGTTTGAGTCCAGCGACACCTTTAAGACCAACAAAGTTTAATTCTGGGTATAAGCTTTCAGGTGTGTGCACTATGAATTTAAACTCTGTGGGTCTTCAAGGTGCCCCTGGACTCAAACTTTGTTCTACTGCTTCAGACCAACATGGCTGCCCGCCTGAATCTACCATGCTATTCATACAGCAGTGGTGGCGAACCTATGGCACGGGGGCCAGAGGTGGCACTCAGAGCCCTCTCTGTGGCCACGCGTGCCATCGCCCCAGCCAGGCCCAGACCATCATTAAAGGGTCGAATTCTCTGCCAAATAATTTTAAGTCAATGAAAGCATTTGGGATTGCTTTCCTTACTATGTTTGGATCATCTTAAGTTAATGTATGAGTTTTTTTTTCTAAAGTAAAACCTCAGTATTCAGGTTAGATTGCCGTGTTGGCACTCTGCGATAAATAAGTGAGTTTTGGGTCGCAGTTTGGGCACTCGGTCTCTAAAAGGTTCGCCATCACTGTCATACAGTAATCAGAAGCAAACCCCCCCCCCATCCACCCAGTCATTTGATCGCCTTCATTGAACGGCAGGAATGACGCATATGCCTGATCCTGGCGAGTCATAAACTCCCACAGGAAAGATTTCACCAGGGATTGTCAACAAGGAACTGTGCAAGAGAAATTAAATCATCTCTCCTCACGTGGAACATGCACCGTGAATTCTGCAAACAGAATGAACTCAGGAGATCGCTCTGAGACTGAAGTCCTTCTATCTGTGTGTGTGTTTTGTATGTATGTGTTTTGTTGTCAAGTCACGGCTGATTTATGGCGACACCTCATGAGGTCTGCAAGGCAAGAGCCAATCCGATCGGAGGGCGTTTCCCTTTGCCTGTCTCTGCAGCTTGACCCTGGGCTTCCTTGGTGGTCTTACAGATACGATGACGGTAGAGGAGGTCAGGGCAGACGGGGTGGGGGGTGGGGCACTTGTCCCAGGCAGGAGAAAGAACTAATGGCTGGGAAGAGAAGGGACTGTACCCAGGGAGGCTGCCAATGGGGCCCCATCCTCTAGGGCAGTGGTGGCGAACCTATGGCACGGGTGCCGGAGGTGGCACTCAGAGCCCTCTCTGTGGGCACGCGTGCCATCGCCCCAGCCAGGCCCAGACCATCATTAACGTGTCGAATTCTCTGCCAAATAATTTTAAGTCAATGAAAGCATTTGGGATTGCTTTCCTTACTTTGTCTGGATCATCTTAAGTTAATGCATGAGTTGTTTTTTCTAAAGTAAAACCTCAGGATTCAGGTTAAATGGCCGTGTTGGCACTTTGCGATAAATAAGTGGGTTTTGGGTCGCAGTTTGGGCACTCGGTCTCTAAAAGGTTCGCCATCACTGCTCTAGGGGATCAACGCCGAATATTTTAAGGGTTCTTCCCTTGATGGGAGGGAAGTCTTTAAAGACCCCCCCCTCTCCACATTTGAGGACTAGACGCTTCTGCATGTCTGGGGTGTCAAACTCATTCGTTATGAGGGCCGGATCTGACATAAATGAGACCCTGTTGGGCCGGGCCGTGTGTGTCATAAACGGTCATGCCAGGTAGTGGAGATATAAACTTTATAAAGGACACAGACAAACACAATTAAAAGATTTTTAAAACTTTAAATAACACATTTCCAGTGAGTTCGACACCCCTGCTTCCACGCAAACCACACTGCGACCCCAAGATTTCAGTGTATTCCCCCAACACAGAAAAGAAGTGTTGTTGTGGTATATGTGAGAGTCCTTTTATTACAATGAATTATGTAAACAAAATACATTTTAATTATAACAGGGGTTTCCTTAAACTACCTTTTTAGAAATATGTTCATTACATTATTGCCCCAGGCTTAAAAAAATCAAACATACAATTAAGAAATAGTTAATTTATAGATAAAACCAAGAAAATATATTTCTTTCTGGTTATGGAACCAGCAAAAGCACAAATACTATCTATTCATTTCATCAAGACAACTACATTCAATACAGGTACGGAGAGACTTCCTCACCCCGCCTATCTAACTGACTTTGGGCATTATTCTCCACATAAAAGTGCTAATTAAAAAGCTGCAGCTCGTTTGGCTGTGGGAAGGGCTCTCTGGTAATTAAAAGAGAAGCAGAGACGAGGCGGGGGGGGGGAAGGAGCCTATTTGCTTTTGGCAACAGAATGGTGTACAGACTCCTGAGCCCAGCTGGAAAGACTGGCCAAAGACCGGCCTTTCCGCAGGAACGAGTGCTCCGGCCCCTCCTGAATACCTTTGGCATGGAGGATGTGACGTGAGTGTGTCTGATGTGCATACGACTGAGCATCAGGGTGGGAAATGGGCCCCCTGAGAGTAATACTTGGCTATGCAGGTCACCCCACGCTGCACACCTCCCCGCTGACAGGCACCGAAACGTTAAGAAGCTCTAACTCTCACAATGTCCGGGTCAGTCAGAAAGGAGGCTGGGGAAGGGGGGGGCACAAAACCAACCCAGCAGGGATGCCAGCCTCCTAGTGGGGCCTGGAGACCCCCCCAGAATTACAGCTCATCTCCAGATGCCCTGGGGGGGGGGGCTCTGTGGCATCGTACCCCACCCGAGGTCCCTGTCCTCCCCAGGCTCGACCCTAGGGTTGCCAAGTCACTTACCTGGCACAGTGGGGGATTCACTCGCACGCCGCGATGACCTCACCCCGGAAGTGACGTCATCGTTTCGGGCGCGTCGCCGGCCGACGCTCTAGCAATCGGCCTGGAAACTCCGGGTGACGTCATCGCGCCGGGCATGGCCTGAACTGGGCACTTTGGGGGTGGGGTTCCTCCGCCAACCTGACCCGGATTGGCGGGTTGGGGACTCTTTTGGCAGGGAAAAACCCCGCCCCCCCAGGGGGGGACTTGGCAGCTCTACCCCACCCCCAAATCTCCAGGAGTTTCCCCCCCTTGACCCCCACCCCCACCCCTTGCCGGTAGCCAGGGAAGACCCGGCAACCCTACAACTCTGCTGTAGGCTACGGGGACCCTTCCCAAAACGTGAGGCTTAACCAAGGAGAGGTCTGGAAAGGAAGGACCTCAGGATACCTGCCAGCTCGAGGGGGAGGGGGAGCCGTTTGCTATCCCCCCCCCAAGGGCTCCACATCCCCCCCAGCCCCCGTACCCCCCGCCGGCCAGTAAGGTCTGTGCAATGGAAGAAGCTGAATCCTGACCTGACCCGCAGTGCCAGGTTTGGTTTTAATCTTATTATTCTGGTGCTGGCCTCTCCCAACCTCTCCACCAAAAGCACTTTACTTCTGGAGGTTCCAAGGTGCTGGAAAGGTTGCCCACTAGTCTGGGGGGTGGGCAAAAGCAGAAAGAAAAGCGCATCAGGGTGGTCTGTGGGCCCTGCTCAGGAAAGAAGCCCCCTGCACGACTGGGGAAAGCCTACTGCCAAGGGGATAATGGCCAGCGGCAATGTTCCCTCTAAGCTGAGTGAGTGTGAGCTAGCTCACCGTTTTTTAGCCTCCGGCTCACACATCTTTTGTCTCAGCTCAGGAAGGAGGGCTCCAGAGCAAACTGATTGATGCAGCGGCCAAATCGCTCGCTCACAACTTTAATGCCGGTAGCTCACAAAGTAGGATTTTTGCTCACAAGACTCCACAGCTCAGAGGGAGCCTTGGCCAGCGGTCCGGATAACGCACATGATCTCCTGGCTAAGCCATGTCCTGCCCAGGGCGGTGCAGGGCTGTACCACTGCTGCACCCAACCCTGCAAAAAGCTACCCCCCCCTTCTGCTCTGAACAGCCCTCTCCCGTGCTGTTGGGAAGCCTGTAAAGTGACATAATCTTGATTAAAAAGGTGACATTCTCCCCGAAAGAGGTTATGACGCACGAAAAGAGGCAAGGGGGAGCAGTAATTCGGGGCGACTGCCACCTCCGCATCTCTGCTTTACGGAGAGTCCATCTCCCCCCCCCCCCCCCAATATGGCTCCCATTTAAGATCAAGATTTGGCTTTAAAAAAATACTTAGAAGGGTTTCCCTCCTGCCCACCTTCCACTCCATTCACGACTTCAGTCCCTCCACATGGAGCTTCCATAATTGATCATTATTCAGCAACCTTGGTTCTCGGGAGGGTGGGCAGGCAGGGGGCCAGGGGAGGAGAAGCCGCAGGACACAAAAGCTAATTCACAAAAGGTACTTTGGTACACAATGGCTCAGAAGCCGCTTCCTCCTCTGCACCCCCCCCCTCCCCCTTCAAGGCACAAGGGGAAGGGGAGGCAGGCCCTCGTCGTCCTCGTCGTCCTCCTCCTCCTCGCAGGAGTCTGGCTCCTCTTCCCTTCCCCTAGCTGCAGGAGGGATGCTAATTCCCAGGCACACAGAGGATGAAGCCTGTGCGGTTCTTGGTGAAGTCCGGCTGTGATTGGTTGATCCTGGTTTCCACGGAGACGGTGCATTTCCGACCATGCAGGCTGCACTGGACCGGATTGGTGACGCTCACTTGCAGGCGACGTTTCTCACTGCAGGGGGAGACGGAAATGTCAAGAGGGGGGTTTTCGGGTGGGGGGGAGGAGAGAGAAGAGCACAAGCCTAGCCTTGGCAAGGGAGGCCGTGCAGGCGGGCCAGCCTGCTGAGCCAGCTTTGCCATTGAGTGCCACCCCTAGCTGGGACTTCCACGATCCCTCGGCCACCTCCTGGCAGCGTGGGTGGGCCCCGATTAACAGCAGATTAGAGCAGATCAGACAGGGGAGGGAGGGGGAGGAAACGCCCTCAGGGCTCAGCTCGGGTACGCAAGACGGGCCAGCCACTCCAGTACCGGTTTATGGCACCCGGTGGAGGAGAGACATTTTTCATGTCGATTCAGAAACTCACGGGGGAATGGGGCGGGGGGAAATGCACAGGGGCTTTGAGGTTTAACACAAAGTGACAACACAGAGAGCACGAGGAAGATACATTCCCTTGGAAAACGCATCTTTCCAGGGATGGATGGCAGGGAAAGGCGAGACATTAGGAAACACGTATCAGGAAACTGACAACCATTATCCATAGCTGTAAGGTAAAGGTTCCCTTGCTCGAAAGCCAGTCGAGTCCAACTCTAGGGTTGCGGTGCTCATCTCCGTTTCCAAGCCGAAGAGCCAGCGCTGTCCGAAGACGTTTCCGTGACTAAACGCTGTTCCCTTCCAACCGAAGTGGTATCTATTAATGTACTTGCAATTTCTTGCTTTCAAACTGCTAGGTTGGCAGGAGCTGGAACTAGAGACGGGAGCTCACTCCGTCATGCGGCACACTCAGGTCTCGAACTGCTGAACTACTGACCTTTCACAGCCTGCAGTTCAGCGTCTTAACCACTTGCGCCACCACAGCTCCTATCCATAGCTGTACAGGGACCTAATTTCTCTTGAAATGCGAGTGTCAGTAGGGATGCGGGGACCCCACTGGCCACTGGTGTGGTGGTGAGGGGTCAGGTTGCCAGCTCCAGGTTCAGAAAATCCTGGAGATTTGGGGGCTGGATCCTGGGGGGGGGGAGGGCAGGGACCTCGGTGGCGCACACTGGCACAGAGCCCGCCTTCCAAAGCAGCCATTTTCTCCAGGGGAACTGAACTCTGTAGTCTGGAGATGAGCTGCGATTCGGGGGGGGGGGGGATCCCCAGGCCCCACCTGGAGGTTGGCATCCCTAAGTGTCAAGCTAGGATCTGGGAGTTCAGACCCCCCCCCGCCATGGAAGCCCACAGAGTGGCCTGTTGTGAGGCTGAGCAGGGGTGAATGCCACTCGGCACCCTGGTTCCCCACGGGGGGGTGGGGGAGGAAAACGGGGTATAAATGAAGTAAATTAATAATTTACTTTCATTTGATGTCATTTAATTTTCAAAGATTTCATTTAAAATCAAGATTTGGTCTTAAAAACAAAACAAGACCAAGGCTCACTTGGAATGCAGGTTCAGCGAGTGTCAGATTTCGGAGTCATAAAACTGAATCGCTCTTCATGGGTGGAATGAGTGCAGGAAACCTCTCGCTGCCCAAATGACGGATGGAGACAAGGGAGGGGCAGCCGGCCCACCCGTGCTTATAGGGATAGGCGGTTCTGAAATATGCCAGGGATGCCAGCCTCCAGGTGGGAGCTGGGGAATCCCCTGGAATTACAGATCATCTGGACTACGGAGATTAATTCCCGTGGAGAAACTGTCTGCCTTGGAGGTGGACTCGGTGGCCTTGCACTCCCTGTCCTCCTCCCCAGGTCCCATCCCAAGCTTCCCGACCTGGAACCTGGCACCCCAACTTCCCCACCCCCACACCGGTGGCCAGGGGGGACCTGGTAACCCTACCCTCCTCGCGCCCCTACCTCCTCAGCTCACTAGCCTTCTCTGCTCTGAGAGTCCCAGGCAAGTTCATCCCATGCAAAAAAAATCCCAACCTTCAAAACAGAAATCAGATCAAACTAGCAACTTGACCCTTGCCTCTGAGAGCTGGACGTAACAGAGTTCACCGTTCTGAACAGCCTCGGTCAAGTTTGTAGGGCACGGGTCCCCAACATGGTGCACACGGCCACCTTTTCTGGCACTCACCCACCAAGTGTTTTTGGGAAGAGGGAGGGGGCAGGAAGGGCCATTGTCCAACAAGGGCTCTGGCTGAGCACTGGAGATTTGATGGGCTGTGCAGGTTTAAAATGTTGCTTTGGTGGCGGCAGCTGCCCCCACAGCACAAGGATCCGCACTTTGTGGCTGAAGGTAAGCTGGGGCAGCCATTTTATGGCTGGCTCCGCCTTTTCGTCAGGGTCAACAGCAAGCAGGTCCAAACACACTCTCCTGAAAAGGCTATGTTTTATTGGAATACTGGTCTGTTGCCAAGTGGTACAGGTACATTGTCAGGAATAGCGATTAGTGCAAGGGGCTCCATACATATACTCTGATGCTGCATCTAGCTAAGCAAATGAAATCCAAACGCGCGGGGGAATTCTCCCGGCGGGATATGACATCATGAACGGGAGACTCACCCCAATCCCTTGAGAGCAGAATTATTCACACCCGTAGTGGAATTCAAGCCCCCCCCTTCCCTTCAAGGTTATACTGACAGCGCTGTCTGGCTGAACCAGTTCGCACGGGGGAAAGAGCGCCTCCCTTATGTTACCCACGGTAGCTAAGCAAAGCAAGCATGTGCGGCTGCGCAAAAGTCAGGGACGAAAGAAAACAAAGAAAGCATGGCAGCAAGCTGACACTCCTGCAGGAACCATTCTTTGGCAGCCATTTTGTTGCTGCACCCACCGTGCTGTGTCGGAATTTCAGATGTGCCTGCAGGCTCCAAAAGGTTGGGGACACCTGTTTTAGAGGACAGGTGCTCTGGAAGCACAGGCAGATGCAAAGGTGATATTTGCTTTTAGACTGCGGAGGCCACAAAACATGATTTTCACTGCTGTGGGAACAGGAAATCCACTTGACCTACACAAGCTGAATATTTAGCTTTGAGTCCCATAGCACGTTAGACGGTTTTCTCTCTGTCGCCCAGGAGTGACGTCATCATATTCGCCAACGTTGGTGTGTGTGTGACATTCTAGTTTTTGGGCAAAACTCTATGGTTTGTAGCCAATTTAACCATAGAGTTTTGCCCAAAAACTAGAGCATCGCTGCGTGACGTGACGATGTCACTTCTGGGTGATGTCATTGTGTTGCCTTTCGGGCCAGTTGGGGGCGGGACTTCCCCCCGCTGGCCAGCTGACCAGCGGTGGGAAAGCACCCTGCAAAGGTGGAGTTCCCCTGCCCCCAGCGGGGGGGTCTGGCAACCCTATTACACCCTCAAAGTCTCGGTGGCCTCTTAAGGTGCTACTCGCCTTGAATCAAGCGGTTCTCTTGCAGACCAAGATCGCCAGGCTACCCTGTGAAATGAAGGTGAACATGGCAGGGCTTTTTTTGTAGAAAAAGCCCAGCAGGAACTCATTAGCATAATAGGCCACACCCCAACCACAGAAACTCATTAGCATATTAGGCCACACCCCAATGCCTTCCCTTGGCTTGCCCGGGTGCCCCGCGGCTGTGGGGAGCCCAGGCAAGCAGGCCCCTGGACAGGCCGGGGAAGGCATGGGGAGGCCCGCCTGCCTTGGAGTCACTGGGGGGGGGGGTCTCTCTCCAGGCCTTCCCTCTGTAGCCACGCATGCAGAAGTTTGGGCTGTAGTGGGCGTGGCCAACTCTGAAGCCAGACGGAACTCCGTTCCTGTGCGTTCCTGCCCAAAAATAGCCCTGGAACATGGGATTCCTAAAATCGCCTTTCCCCTCTCTCTTAATAGACATGAAGATCTGCATCGTTATCGCTATCTCCCTTAGAAACAGGACAACAGAAACCGTTTTAAGGGCAAGAGCTAGAAAATGCAGATATGGCCGTTTGGATCCAGCTGGTTTTTCTGCTGATGCAGAAGTAAGGAGGCAACCTTCTTTGACCACACGTGTTCAGAATCAGGCATGCGATGTCACTTTTATGTAAATATACGCTCTAACTATTTTATTTTATTTATTTATTTTTTGGATTTATATCCCACCCTCCCCGAAGGCTCAGGGCAGCTTACAAAGAGGCTAAACTCTATATTGGCCACCATGATGGGTTTTTCAGATTCCAATAAAGCTGACAAACTTTTGAATGATTCCTAAGTTCCTTCAATTTGCCATGCTGCTACGTGAAGAAAAAGTACAGTTGTAACCTATTATTTTGTTCAGTGTATTTGTAATACAGTGTCCTACTTGTATACTTTTATAATGACTTTGTTCTACTGACATATGCCAATAAAGGCTGACTTGACTTGACACAAAACAAAACCCACGCGAGACAGTATGGGAGACACTGACGGGGAAAAGCTGTCTGGATCCAATCCATGGCAAAGATGTCTGCTGATGACAGATATCAGCTCACCTTTCTTTAAAAAGTAGTATCACCTCCTGAAAAGTGGGGAAAGGTCTTCAGCGGGGGTCATTTCGTAGAAAAAGAGGTGCAGGAGCTCATTAGCATAACTCATTCACATAACTCATTTTCATACGCCACACCCCCTGACATCACCAGAAGTGTGTCAGAAAGCAACACCCACCATTCAGGCTACACTGGACTATTTTGGATTCGTAGCGATGGGTGGATGAGGGAACACGCAGATCTGTCCTCGCAGAGGAGGGAGAGCTTGTACCTGAATAAAACCTGGTCTTAAAGGTGCCACTGGACTGTTTTGAATTGCTAGCTATTGGGGGGGGGGGAACCTGCAGATCTGCCCTCACAGAGGAGGGAGAGCTTGTACCTGAATAAAACTTGGTCTTAGTGCCACAGGACTGTTTTGGGCCGGGGGGCCGGGGGGGGGAGGCTCTGCAGCTTACCTGGTTGCTTCTTGCTCTGACTGAGGGCTGCTGGGAGTGGGGGGGTGGGCGTGTTGCATGTGCTTGCCCCCCTGGGCTCTACTGCCGGAGCTCTGCTCCTGCAAGAAATGACCCCTGGCTTCAGAAAGAGGGTCAGCAGGGCGCCATAGTTCAGGTTTCAGACTAGGAGCTGGGAAATG